CTGATCGTCTAACCTCATTAATGTAAACACTAGATGTGACGATAATGTTTGACTTGGATGAACTTCTGTCGCAGATCACATGAAGACGATGTACACGGAGATGTCCTTACACCCCGACGAGTTCGACTACTTTCACGTCGGCGTGGACTCAAATATAACCTTCTGTCTGAAGGAGCTGAGGGTAACAGGGTTATTTTTGGAATCTCCCTTTCTCCTGTCACATGAAAGTATGTGAGTGAATGGGTCCCCAGCAGTATTTAAGAGGTCATATGTCTCGTCCTGTAACGTATAAGATTCTCCAGTATTTATTTTTTTAAAGATTTATTTTTGTGCCTTTAATGGAGAGATAGGACAGTGGATAGAGCTGGAAATCAGGGAGAGAGAGAGTGGGGAATGACATGTGGGAAAGGAGCCACAGGCTGGATTTGAACCTGGGCCGCCCGCTTGGAGGACTACAGCCGCCATACATGGGGCGCGGGCACTAACCACTGCACCACGAGCGCCTCAGATTCTCCAGTATTAATGGAGCCTCAGCACGGAGCATTCTGTAACCTATCCATGTGAACTTTAACCTCTTCGGTGTGACTCATCTCTGAAGCGAAAGATAGTGTGACAGACGTGACGCACATGGAACCCATGCTCTGCACATTGCATCCCTCATTACGAGGTGTATCAATCTAAAGCCAAGTACGAGTGCGTTTGTGTCTCAGGGAAAACGAGAAACAGAAACGTTGAATCTTAGAGACTAAATCAACGTAGTTTAAGTCACTTGTTTGATTATCTGTTAGGCCAGTTTAAAAGACTTGACCTGCATCATTCACCGCCCCCAAAGACTTGGACTACCTCCTGTGAATCTCCACAGTACAGAGACTACTCCTCTAGTTCCTGTTGGTTTTAGGAAATCTGGTTATGACGGATTAGAAGCCAGGTTTAACTTTTAGTCACCTTTGATACCTCTCTTATACTCTCTGAAGGTGGCTGCAATCTGTACCATGCCCACGCACGTTTGACACCCAAAGTCCAGTTTGTTTGAGGATTTCGAGAGTTCAAAACCCTGGCACACTTTGAAGAGGTGTGCTTCAGCTTGGTACAGTTCTTCATGTACGAGCACAAGCATGGGTACACAATGTAGACATGAAGTTTAATCGATCCCTGCCTCCATAATTGAGAAATCCCAGAGTGTTCTGTCTGAATCTGACTAGAATAAGACACAAAGTCAGTAAAGTATCTGTCATGTTCTCTGTGTTGTTCTCCGATACTCAGAGACAGACTAAACACTGCGTCCCTTTTTTTATTTTTGAGTCTGCCCAAGCACGCTTCATGATCACGTAAAGCCATTCATGTGTTGTGTTCAGGGTCCAAAATAAATATCCGCCAAGCACGTCTGGGAACTACTACCTTTTAAAAGAATAAAAGGTGAGCAAATATATGTTTTATAATTTTTAAATTTCCTGATCTGATAAAATTATCCAAACCGTGACTTAAATCTGTGATTGATTCAACAGAACATACCTTCTCAATTAAATGTGCTGAAACAAATGTGTATGCGACACAAAAGCACAGTTTTTTAATTTGGCCGGTAAATAATATGCCTGATAGGTGAGTTAAAAAGTTAGTTTCGGACCCTGGTTGTATTTGGACGTTATTTTCAAGAGGTAACCGTGCTCAGGCCTGGTTAGTCCTGGAGCAGTGTGAGTGCGCCCTTAAGGATCAGCTGTTAAATGTCATAGTTGGAACAAGGATCCACTAAAGTCAAACTTTCCCCTGTGAATTTCTGCTGATCTGTTTTCCAGGGTCTGTTGTCCTTTGCAGAGTCACACTGTCTTCCAGTGTCGGTCTACTGCGGTGCCGCTGGAAAGTAAGTTTTTGTGTGCTTGTTGTTAACTTAGTAAACTAACGTCAGCCAGCTCTGCTACGGGAACCCCAAAATCAGTTGTGTTTCACTAAACTAACATCTTTATTTAAAATATTGATCCTGTCTGCGGCTGGTTTAGTCAGATTATAACCAGCGCTTTAGCCACGTTAGCAGAACCGGTGATGAAATTGTAAAAGATAGTGATGACTTTAAAAACGCAGACTTCATAGGACTAACTTTATTGATGTTTCTTGCAGGCCTGTTTGCTTCTCTGTGGAGGACATGGTCCTAGAGGCCACTGTGGTGCTGGCCACTCTTTATGACCCTGAAAGCAAGGACCCCTCTCAGTCAGCAGCGATGACCCTGACCGATGCTACACAAAGGTACCAAGACTTAGGTGTTATAAATCATGTTTAAATCATCGGGATCTGCACGGATTACATCTCTACTTAAAGGGGGATTTTTGACCAGACAGCTCAATGACCAGTTTTCTCAAACCTCCGTCGACAATGTTCAGCAGAGTCGAGTTGAATCTTCCCACAGGGATCTCTACCTGAGCCTCTCTGTTGGCACTTAGGCCGCGTGCCCTAGTTGGCTTTTCCTTTTTTAGCTTCCTTAGAGGGCGTAGTGTTACAGCACCAAACCTTGTGTCTGTAAAAGAGATAAATAGGCCAAGCCTGGAACATGTGGGGTAAGGTTAGAAGCCTGTCAGTGTCTGTAATCCCTGAAGCTCTGCCATGTTGTCCTGCTCTCTCTCTCTCTCTCTCTCTCTCTCTCTCTCCCTCTCTCTCTCTTTTTCAACTCTGGGTGTTTCCTGTCACCATTGGATACCCTATCTTCCATTATTACACAACATTGTTATTCCCATTGATACTCACTACAGATTTATTACCCTCTTTGTTCTTTTTTTGTCAGTTTTAATATAAAAGAATGACCTCATATATGTTTTTGACACTCCCTCATAGTCTAACCACACATGCAGTTTGAATCTTAATGTCTTTGTTCATGCTTGCAGGACTTCTCGTCAGAAGTCAGAACCGTAAGAGGCTAGGTTGTGCTTGATGTCCGTAGGCGCTGTGTGGAATTTAAAATATTTTCAACTTGGGCACAGGGCTCCGTGACATCACCTCCGCGCATCCAATAGGAGGGAAGATCAGATCACAACAAAGAGTGTCCCACTTTCCTGTGCTCTAATGTGTGGCGTGCTCATGAAGTGCTGCAGCTCCTGGAAGAGCCGAAACTCTCCCACAGCCTGTCGTGCCCTGAGGATTTCACCAACACACACCCTTTTCTTCTTTGCTCCTCGTCTCCTCCTCCCCAGCAGAAGACTGTTCCGACCTTTATTCTTGTTAGTGGACAGATACGAACATACTGTGCATCCAAGTAGCTATTTTCCCGACTTTTGTTTCTGTCACCTTGCGACTGGCGCTCTTGCTTTGTGCTCTGCGCCCTACTCCTCCCTGAAAGGCTCTTAAGAGTTACTTTCATTGAGACACACTAAGCTTCACCAACTCGTCTCCATACAGAATTCATTTGAATTTTGTGTGTGTGTGCATGTTCCTAGGTGTGCAGAAGCTGCTGTTCTACCTGTGGGTTCATGTGAGGCGAACATCGGGGAGCCTGAGGACATTCCAGCTGTGACAGAGATGATAGCATCCAGCCAGGGCAGCCCGATGAACGTCCCACCTGCTCTGATGCTGCCGCTACTTCACACCGCTGGCGTATGTGTGCCTGAGGATCACTGCAGCAGCGCCAACTCGTCTCCTGCCTCCTCCACGGTAACAAGAGCTTACAGGTGGTTTTTCAGTGTTTCTCAACTGGTCGAGCCTCAGGACCCACCATAAACTACAACACCTAGTTTCAAACTTCAGACATGTTCAATGTCTCCACTTTATAAAACAAGCCAATGAGCTCTGCTGAGTGAGGAAAGAAAGCATCCGTGAAGCCTCCTTCCTCGTTATTCGTCCAACAGGGCATCAGGGTTAAAACGGCGTGCTGGACACTGTAATAGTAAACCATAGAATGAATCTGATTTTGTTGTGTGCTGTGAGGACCGGCTGTAGGGAGGAGGGGTCGGGGGAGGCAGCTCTCTCCAATATTTTGAATTTGGACTGCAGTACCCATTTTAAACACTAGAGATCAGAGTTACAAACTGCTCCTTTAAATGTTTTACTTTAACACCGTGCACTAACAGAAGTTGTTTCTGTTTCTGTAGATCTGCTCCCTCCTGTTCAGGGCCGTGTCCTTGGAGCAGGACAACCACGACAGCACTGCCAGACCGCCTGTTCTGGCGTTCTACAGTGATGAGGAGGAGAACATGGAGGAGGACACAGACAGCCCTTCACTCTGAGAGCTCACAGCTCATTCCTGTGTCTTTAGAACCTGTTCAGCTCATATTGAAGGATGCAATGTGTTGTGATGCAGCCGCAGCATTCACATGTGGTTGGATAGGTCAGATCAAACTTTTATATTAACTTAACATGTTTAAGCCTGTTGTTTGTAGCGAACTTGTTTTATTTAAATCGTCTTCAGATTGTAGAGTTTGACAGCAAGCTGTAAAATTCTGTGTTTTTATAATTAATATTTATGAACTCTCAGTAAAAGTGTGTGATTGGTTTGTCGTTGCATACTTGGTATGGACTGTGAAAACATGACGGATGGGTGTGGCTTCTTGAAGACGCCACACCCGTCCGTCTGTGAAGCTAACTCGTACTATGACCACACCTGTGGAATGAACACAAAGGTCGTGTGAGGCCTCCTCTTCTACTGGTTGGCTCAGCACTGCAGGCAGGGTTAAGTGAGGTGAACACGCTCACTTAGAGCCAAATGAGATTACGCCTTGTTGGTAAAATACAACCCTTAAGGCATGAAGCGAGAATCACACCTCGTCTGCAGCGTTTGGTTAAACCATTCAGTGCAAATGGACTTGAGCTTCTATAGTGATTTTATAACCCCATCCATACACATTCACATTAAGCTGACGAATCAGCTGGAGCAAATTGTGGTTAAGTGTCTTGCCCAAGGACATATCGGACACGTGGCTACAGGAGCTCGGGATCGAATCCCCGACCTTCCTGTTGAGACAGCCGACTCCACCACTGATCTAAAGCCGCCCGTGTACCAGACAGACATCAAAAACAAAAGATTAATAAATACTATACTCTTTATTTAAATATTTTACAGACTCAAAAAATGTTTTTTTTCTCACAACTGAACTGTACACTCAAAATATATAGACACGTGCTCTGGTTTGTAACAAAGTGTGTGTGGGAGAGAAGGACGAGAGGCGGGGAGACGTGTAAGAGCAGCTCTAAGTCAGGAAGCAGGAACCTCGAAGATCAACAGTGACGTGCAATCTGACGAGGAGAATTGCTTTTACTTTGAAATTGTTAAGGCTGCTTCGATTGTCCTCGGGGCTTTAAGACTAAAAGAAGTTACATTTGACTTCTCGCTGCCCCGCCCATCAAAAGAAAATCTGATACTGTCTTCCAGTTTGTCAGGTTAAGAGAGGGAGCAGTGCGTTCCCCCAATTTCCACATACTCCGTCAGCGCCACGGTTTAGCTACGTCGCCCTGCCCCACTGGATCTGTTTCTGGAGCGCGAGTGCTGCCATGAGCAGCTGTTCACACATCACGAGAAATACAAGATCACACGAGAACTACAAGATCACGCGGGAATAAAGACAAAAACGTGCAAACAACATGTTGCTTTGTCTTTCTGAGGATGATTTGTTCATGCGTGTTTTGACGTAATGTTGATAAAGTGATGGAAAATACTATTGGGAGCCTGTATTATGTGTTTTATTTTGAAATGGACTGGACGTCTGACTTCCTGTCCGGGTCGATCTAATCTGTCCATCTTGACATGTCCCTGCAGCGAACTCTGTCTTGCAGCGTGTTTTAAACAGTGCAGAATGCGGAGGCGCTGATGGCACGCTCCAGAGACGGGCCGCGGCGCTCACTGTGGAAACACAATCATTGACTTGAGTAGCAGCGAACGAAAGCTTAGTGTGCGACGCTGACGGAGCGCAGCACTTATGGAGTATGTGGAAACTGGGGGTCTGATCATACACAATGTAAACATCCGTCTCCTGATCCGCAGGGAGTTTGTATGTGTGTGATGGCTCGATAAGTATTCCTAAACTCCAGACTGAGCTGACGGTTTCTGCAGGTTTCAGAAAGGTTGGAATTGCTGTGGATGCAGAGAGAAGGGGTGAAACCTGCAGGGCATGATGGGAAAGCTGTTCTCACTTTATGGCTACTTAACAGTTTTCAGGCTTGTGCTCAGAGCCGGGCACATTGTTGTGGGGTTTAAGGAATTAAGGAGCTAGTATCGCCAACACCTGATACAAGGCACGTTATTCTGACGATGTTGCACAAAGATTTTAAACTGTGGATTAGGATTGTAGTGAATGCAGAGTGCAAATCTGTGGTGATGTCATGGAAACAGCGACCTTGACATGAATGTGCCTCCGGAGCTCCGCGGCAGAAAGGATGGAGAGAAGGAACGGAAAGTTCTCAAGCTACTCTGATGTGCTGATCGCTCGAAAGAATTGAACAAGATACAAAAATAACTTTGGTCACGTGACCAACTCGCTTTGTGCGTTTAAGGCTGTGAGACCCGATCAGCCCAGTGGATACGCAGACGTCTGCAGCCTTCATTTCTGTTTCATAGACACGTATGAAACATCTCAATTCACTGACGGGCATGGCTGCATTCAGAATTTACACACACGCATGTTCGTAGAGACATCACACATGATCACAATCAAGACTTCAGCAGTGGCGGCATGGTGAGATTAAAGGGAGGACATCAGTTTGACGATAATGTGGCGAGGAGGTTTTAACTATAAAGTCCTTCAGCCAATAATGAAAGTAACAAATGGTGTGCACTCTTCTGCATGAAATCTTGTCGGATCACCCTGCCAACACCATGTAGAAATGTCACATACCAGTACACTCTTATTTTTTTGTTTTTTGCAAACATTTAACAAAATATCTGAGATTAGCCAACATCTCCCGCACCAACGTTTGAGGATCGAGGCCCTTTGACAAACACCATATTATTAGGAACATCTGCATACCCAAGGCAGCCCATTTATTGAGCCCTAACGCTGCCGTTTCCTGTGCAGTTCCCTTCTTGATGCTCCAGGATGACGGTCTTTCTCTTCCAGCAGCCCAGCAAGAGTGTGTGTGTGTGTGTGTGTGTGTGTGTGTGTGTGTGTGTGTGTGTGTGTGTGTGTGTGTGTGTGTGTGTGTGTGTGTGTGTGTGTGTGTGTGTGTGTGTGTGTGTGTGTGTGTGTGTGTGTGTGTGTGTGTGTGTGTGTATGTGTATATTGTGGTGGGGGGGTGGGGGGCTTTTACAGTCTTACACCTGGGGTCTGACCACATCTGCCACTGTCTCTGATTCTCCACTTCCTCCCTGCTCGCACCACCATCAAAGAAAGAGGACTTATCCTTGTCGGACAGGATCATCATCTCCATGTTGCCCAATGATGGCTTATCCCACACAATAGGATTATCCAGTGAGCACTGGAAACCTGCCGAAGATGCCAAGTCTGCAGCCGGCCCAGAAGGATGTTTGAGGCCTCCGGTCCTCTGGATTCATTCACTCTCTGGGGGGGGGGATTGATGCTCAGCTTGGGGGGGGGGGGGTTATGCAGCATAGAGTCAGACATGTGAAGCATGTGACATCAGTCCTTCATCCTGGCCTGCAGGAATCAAAGCAGTCCATCACCTGCAGATGCAGAGCAACCCCAGTCCCAGCTCGACACCGAGGTTAGTCCGTGTATTCTGCCACGATGGAGAGTAGCACTGTGATGTCATCAGGCTTTCCCCCTGGACAGAAAAAGGAAAAGAGTCCCGTTAGGAGGATGTTCTCACATACAGGCGCGTCGTGTGCCGCTGTCCAGCTTTTACAGTTTCTGTTTAATTCAAGAAGTGAGACACTCACCTCTGACGTTCAGTCCATTGTCACAGGCAAACTGAGCAAAAGGTGACATGTAGTTGGGGTCATACGCCAGCACGTGGGCCTGCTCTGCGATGCTCCGTGCGGTCTGCTGGATGCTCTCATAGTTTGAATTCTACGCAGCAAAAAACAAAGCACTCATGACGATTTTACTCCAGAGATATTTCTGATTCCAGTTCCCCCAACAGTACAACCTGTGTGGGCCTCAGTGTGACTTACCTTGAGTTTCTTTAACTCTTGCAGGATCATGTAGTCAGGCATGTTATCAAACAGCCCGTCGGTGGCGGTGAGGATGATGTCACCGAGCTGGACATCGAAGGACGAGCTGTCTGCGGCGTCAGGGCTGCGGACACACACAGTGAAGTCAGACAGAGGATACAAAAGTTGTTCTGTGTCACAGGGAAAATGAAAAATTCAGACTCCAGCAGCAGCAGTTTCTTTTAAACCTTTACAGCCATGGGTAGGAAATCTGTCCCGTCTGAGCTGATGGATTCATCTCAACCTCTGACCCCTCATCTCCTCCCCTGGACAAAAACTCTTGAATATAATGCATCAGTTCAAAGTTAGATAATGTACTGACGATAGCTATGATAGCTAGACCTACGGATACATGAGCCTGGCTGCAAACTCAAGGAGCACACGAGCAGGAAGAGAACGTACTACAGAAGATTTTTTTTGGTGCTTTAAATTAGAATGACGTGTGCTTCAAATACACTGGCAGAGACGAGGCAGGTGTCGATTTCACTTCTTAGAAGATGCTGTTGCCCTGCTGCACAGCCTCAGGCCAAGTCGTGAATGTTATTCATTAATAAACTGTCAGTACAGCATCATGACACCGAGCCAGAGCTCCCAGGAACAGCCTGTCCTCTGCTGGGATTCAGATCCAACTCAATATGCAATTCATGTTAAAAACAAATCTTCAGCAGCCACATTAAAAATTACAGAAAATAAAAAACAAGTGCAGTTAGACGTGTGAATGTAAGAATCTTCTTCTACGAGTGCACTGGGAGAGAAAGTGTCATTACAATGAATTGGCCGCCTTGTAGTCCAGGCACACAGTGTTCCATCAGCGCCACGGTATTGCTCCGTCGAACGGCGTGCGTCCTGCAGCACTGGGTCTAGTTCGGGAGCACGAGCGCAGCCATGAGCAGCTGAACTCACAAGAGAACTACAAGATCACGTGGGAATAAATGTGCAAACAAAATGTTACTTTGTCTCTCTGAGGATGATTTGTTGTCAGGAGTCCGTATACCGTGTTTTATTTTAAAATTGACCGGACGCTCTGTGCTTTTCCTTGTCTGACTACCTTTCTGGGTCGATTTATTTTTTCCAGCTTGACGCGTGCCTGCAGCGAGCTCTGTCGACAAAAGACCTGGAGTGTATTTGAAACGTAGCAGGGCGTAGTAGCGCTGCTGGCCCGCTCCACAGACGGACCGCCGTGCTCGCTGTAGAAACAGGAGCATTGACTAGAGAAGCAGCAAATGGCGCTGTAGTGGCGGCACACACAAACGCAGCGCAGACTGCCTGTGTAGAAATTGTCAGTACGAGTGTTAAGTAGTCCACTTAGCGTTTAAATACATAATAAGATGCAAGTTCTAAAAACATCTGACGCCTCTGTCTCCTTTTTGATCAACAAACTCAAAATCATTGAATCTTGTTTTAAACACACTAAGAATGTTTTGCAGTTTAGTTTTGACCCTTGACCTCTTCAGTATTAGTTGCTATGCTCGTTATCTAAGGCCGGAGGTTTAATCTGCACTTGGTGTAAATCATTTTGAGGAAATCCTCCCATTAAATGACTAAAGTGCACAAATGAAAAAAAGAAAGCATCATTTCAAACACTACAATTAATCCTCTAATAAAGTACCAAAGGCTTTAGTATGAGGCTGAACTCTGGTTCATAATAATGAACACAAGTTGAGTAACAGTCTATAAAGACTTGTCTAGTTTAGGTGCGCCGCCCCCCCAGGTCAGTTTCCCTAAAATGTTTTAAAGAGGCTCAAAATAATCTGCTGGATTGAAGACTGAGAGAGTGAAGTGGTGGCTGAGCGTGCTTGTGCAGGATTGGCTGTGGACTCTTTAGGCCCACACAGACTTTGACCAGGGTAAGAGGCAAAGCTTGGCGAATCTCCAGCTCCTGCCCTGCTCTCTCTGTTGATGTCTACTGTGCTGCTTGTTGGCACGCCGTCGCAACGGGACACATCAGCACGTGGCCCTAGATACACTTCAGCTGAACACCGTGCACAGTCACAACATCAACAAAAACAGCTGCAGAGAGGACACGCTATCTCCTAACCTTGATTGGATTAGAGCTGAGAGGAGGAGGAGGAGCTTGAATCAGACAAGGGGTCGATGAAGCAAAGCTGCGCTAACTGATCCAAACCCAACTGAACGATGTAACATTTAGTTCAACATCCTGCGTCTCACCTGTCACTGAGCACGGCTCCTTCAGCCCCCGGGGGAGCGATGGACAGTTGGAAGGGCGTGTTGAAGTAGTGCTGCTGCTCGTCTGAACGGTGGACAACTTCCCCTCCCCGGACCACCAGGAAGCCCGAGTCTCCCAGGTTGGCCGTGTGCAGCCGGTGACGCTGCCGGTCTAAGACCACAATGCAGGCTGTGCTACTTCCTGCAGAACAACACACACACAGAAACACACACACTTTATTTTTTTCATGCATATTTTCACCAAAGGTCTCCAGTATGCCAACATGCATGTTAAACATCTGAATGTCTTAAAGATCATATCATAGATTTAATTTATGTACCTACACGTACGTTCACAATAGCTAAAGTTTGAAAGAAGTGTCTGTTTTCATGTACTGCTCCTCCTTGCTCCCTCTACGCTCTGAGTCCGTCAGCTACACTCTGTTGAGCCCACGTGGGCCAAGTCTGCTCTGATTGGTCTGCTGATCCGCTCTGTTGTTATTGGTCAGTTGCTCAGCACGCTTCTCGGAAATTTCAACATGAGCTGCAGGGCTTGCCACAACGAGCCAATGGGCTTAGATCAGTGATCTCACACTGACAATGATGTCACACTGATACATTTTTATCAAGGGGGGCTAGAACCGAGCGTTACATTTGGCTAATGCTACAGCTAACAGGAGGAGGTAGGAGAAGCCGCGTTTCCGCAGACTTTGAATTATTGCAAATAGATGTGCCTAAACATGCACAGGATACATGGAAAACACACTAAAGAGCATATAAAACCAGAAAAAGCAGAATATGGGACCTTTAACAATAGCTGCAATCAATTAGACAGTCTGTTTAAGTCACGGCACTGACATTAGCCTGATTAGCCTTCTATTTGAATGTCATGGAGGCGTAATGGGGGGAGGAAGTTACCCCGCCTCTGTACCGTCTTCAGAGGTGGTAACAGGCGTTACAGAGGAGAGGTGGTTACAGCGGGGCCAGCAGGAGAGTGCAGCGCTGTGTGTGTATGTGGAGCTCCCGCTGTGACCTCACAGACTGGGACACCAACATAATGTCATCATGGAATCAATATGAGTGTACAAAGCTGAGGTTAGTTACGACACTTTTACATAAAAGCAGTCTGAAAGAGGCTTCAGTGTAACAGTGAGGCACCATACACAAAACCAGGACTCTGGATCTACATCCAATTCAGTCTTTATTGATCTGATCATTCACACTTTGAATCTTCCTCCTGTTACATCGTTTTCATAAATATGTCTGAATGAACCAAACAACATCTACTGTCCTCATCAGCATAAAGAAAGGTTAGATCTGCGTTAGTCTGTAGGATATCCAATATGCATGTGACTGATTAACGAGGTTAGCCTGAACACACAAACTTAACGTAACACGATCAGCGTAGCAGCTTTAAGCCTTGTTTTGTAGTTCCTCTCCACCATCTGGTAGATGTTGAAGAGGAAACATGAGCTGATGGAGCGGGCAGACGGTGTGCAGCCACACCCTGCTGCTGATTCATCTGGCACACCAAAATATGCTCTTTGGGATCAACCTTCAAGAAAAAAAAACCCACGTGCACTCTGACTCACACCGCCCAGTCTCAAGAACATTCCCTGTGCTACCAAGACAATCACAATACGGGTTTGTTTCCTCGCTGCAACATGTGATGGAGGGACGGAAAAGTACTGACACTCACAAAGACAAAGATCTGTTCCTATCTGTTGTCGGGAAGCGGAGCGAAAGAGGAAAAGGGTTTCTAAAGGAAGGGAGCTGCACGGGGCATGTCGGGACTCGGGACAGTCCCGGGACCTCTTTATGGGATCTGGTTGTTCTGACTCATGTTGCAAAAATGTAAATGCAGCCACAATTGAAACACACACACAGAGACAAACAACCTAGCCCATGGCTGAGTGCTAAGATCCAAAACCACATGGAAAATATTTGATTAGCAAGCAGAGTCTGTCTGTACATATTTTATGTTGGACTGCACAGTCCTGCACGCTGCATCGTGAGATGGACCTTGATTTGTTAAGTGATATTTAAACACGGTGAGAGAGGAGGAACACCACGAGTCTGCAGCCCTGTGAAAACATGTTCAAACACAAGTATCACTTGATGTCTTTGTTTCCTCTCCGACCTACATAGAATCATTTTAGCAATTCAAATCTACCACCGACACGGAGAGACAGACGCTAACTTTATCTTTCAAGGGCGTTGTTTAAGAAGAGGAAGGTTCATTAAAACAGATCCTTGTCTTTAAAACAAGTGGAATCAGGGATGACTCTTGAGGAGAACTGTGACCCCATGACCCCTTCCCCCGGTGGCTTTACTCACCCAGGAGTGGCACTTTGTTCTGCAGCAGCTCGTAGTAGCTGGTCGTGAGGACTCCCACGGGGTTGCTGGGAATGAAGCGCCCCTCCTTCACCAGCCTCTCGCACGTCTTCATCAGTGTGCCTGAAAACTGAGACGGGTCTACTCCATAGTCTCGCCAGCCGCCTACTCCATCTGCTACACCTAGAAGAAACAAAAGCACACAGGTGTTTGTTTCAGGGTTAGATCAGATCAGTTTCACCTGGATTATTTCTTGGGGCCATTTCAGCCTTTATTGGACAGGACAGCTGAAGGGAGGCGGGACTCATTAGGAAGAGAGAGAGGAGGACGGCTCGGCATGCGGCAAAGTGCAGAGGTCGGGATTCTAACCCACGGCTGCTGCGATGAGGACTTCTGTACATGTGGTCCACAACACAACCACTAGGCTACCCACACCAGACCTTGATCCATGTGTACCCTCACCATCTACTTTTGCTCACATTTGTATCCTGTACATTATGATGCATTCAAAGCCTCCTGGAGAGAACAGTATTTTCTATACTTGTGTAGTTCACAGTCCTCAGCCTTGTTCCTGGGGTGACCACCGTCTTGCGAGAAAGGATTACAATGCCACGCAGCTGGCACAATTAAGAACAACAATGGCCACTTTCATTAAGATTGAGAAAAAAAAAGAACATCCAGTACAGAAAAAAAGATTTTACAAGAACTCGAGGAAACGTCACAGCATGCATTAAACCGCCCGAGAGGTCAACACGGACCGTTCTTCAATTTGAGTTTAGAAAATGTTTAGTGACTCTCACATGAACACACACTGCTCCATGTTAAACTATATCCACTGTAGTTCAACGTACCTCGTGTGTCTCGGCCACAAAACATTAATCTGTGACCCCAGCTCCCATAAACACCTCGTCATTTCAAGCACTTCCAAATCCTTTTAAAGAAGCATGCGTTGGTTATAACGAGCGATTGTTCCCTAAGAGCATTTTGGTCGGTACCAAGAGTTTTCCCTAGACAGAAACTTCAGATCTGTTAGTCCAAGGACGGACCATACAAGGACGGCCTTCAGCGTCCCTCCTGCCTCTGCCAGAACAGAGAAGCAGGCCCACGCACACACACACACCTAAGTACAGCAGAGAAGTGTTGGGTTGTTTTTAAATGATCCAAGGCCTGAGGGTTATCATGGAGTCAGTCGACTCGACCAATGGTTTTACGGCATGCAGTGTTTGATTTCAAACTTTCTTTTACTTCAGAGACTTATGTTGACATGTGAACCAAAAAAAAAAAGAACAGAAGAAAAGAAGAACAATGATGTGACGTCAGCTGTGCATAAGCCAATTTGGTGCACCTTATTACCTCATCATGGTAAATGGACCTGAGCTCGTACAGTGCTACTCAAAGTGTTTCACACTGCAGGTCACACCTAGACATTCACACACTGATGGTAGAGGCTGCTGTGTAAAGAGTCCATCAGTATTAACTCATCCATTCATACACATTCACACACTGATGGTAGAGGCTGCTGAGTAAAGAGTCCATCAGTATTAACTCATCCATTCATACACATTCACACACTGATGGTAGAGGCTGCTGTGTAAAGAGTCCATCCGTATTAACTCATCCATTCACACACTGATGGTAGAGGCTGCTGAGTAAGGTGAATTTGTACACATTCACACATGTAGTGTAAGGAGATCAAACCCCCCACCTTCCAGTTGAGAGATGACTGACTTGTCAGGTAGAGTCAGTCGTCTGTCAACTCTGAGCCCCAGCTCCTGCAGCCACATGCCCGATGTGTCCTTGGGCAAGCGATGAACCCAAGTTGCTACCGCCGCTTCGTCGGCGGCGAATGAATGTATATGAATGCATTAGTACTGAGGGACACTTAACAAAGCCACCTCCGTGGGTTGGTGTGACCTGCGGTGTTAAGGTGCTTCGAGTAGTCAAGAGACTAGAAAAGAAATACACAAGCTCAAGTCCATTGACCATCTTTCACGTCATCGCAAATCTATGGTTAACGTTTCTGTGGTAAACAAAGCAGACACTCACCCAAAACATCCGCGGATCTATGTCGGGCGATGAAGCACGCGTCGTCCCCGTAGCACATCCCTTTCTTCAGGATGCCTTTGCGGAAATCTTTGCCGAAGCCGCAGCTCGCCGTCACCAGGCTGTAGTCACGGCTGTCTGTCTGAGAAAGTCCGCCGATGACAGCTCTGGCAACGAGTCTCCCGTACGACAGCACGGACAACATCACCTACACACCAGCTCCCAACAAACAACCCAGCCAAGCTAGCAGCCCTGCTAGCTTAGCGTCGATGTGAGCACTCTAGTATGTTGACTTGCTAACGCAGCAGGAGATGAGCCAGACAACAACAACCAGACACGCACACACAAAGCCTTCCGCTGAGATAACAAGCTACAAGTCATACAGGAAACAGTCTCCTCTGCACGACCTGCTTCTCCGTAGCCATGGTGCCAGATGATCTGCTCTTCAGTCACAACACACAGTCAGTGTGACCGAGCTGCCCTGTGGCCCCACACACTCACTCCACTCCGCTGGCAGGGTCTTGTGACTGCTCTGACGTCACACACCATTACGCAATGAACGTTTCCTAATAAGGACATATAACCTCCTGTTAGCGTAAAGCTTCGTATTCAGTAATTAAACGTAGAACAACATATTCCGTGTAAAGATAAATCTAAATACATAATTGGAGAATAAGATTATACAGGAGGCATGTTTGGGCTGTAATAATAAGAAGGAAAAGACCATTTAAAAAATATTGTTACAATATTATAAATTATTTTGTGCTGCACATTTAAATACAATATTTCAGACCTCGTTTTTAAGAGTATATTGGATTTTTTAACTATATTTTGTCTCCCCCTTGTGGTGTTGTTATTTTATAGAAGAATAAGAGTTGACTTAGACTATTTGTATTTCCGTGTTATTTAAGAAACACGAGAGGGAGTGACTCAGTCTGAAGATAATGACAGCAGTGCTGTCCAGAACAACATCTCCACCTCCAGTGTCATATTACTTTAATACAAGAAAATAGTGATATAAAGTAAAAATGAACTACAGGTTAGTTTTTAACTCCACCAACTTAACTAGTTCCAGTTTCACTGAAACTAGACTGTTGCTAAGCAACCCGAACATTCTATTGTAAAGTTGGTGTCCATAGTAACCACAGAGCAGCTACTCTGAACCTTCACATGTATGTTATAATCAATGAATGTGACCATGAAACCAGAGACATTAAAGTGTGTTGTTTGATTCTGAGGTTTGAGATGAAGAATAAAGAAAAACTCTGTCAGCTGTAAATGTTCATTTGAAGTATTCTGAGGAGGGATACATGTCACAGTGATGTCACTCACAGAATGCCTCTCGTCCAATCAGATTGCTCGGTCTGAACTAACTGTAGTCTAACGAGTTATGCAGAACAGGACAAAAAGAACAAACAACATTCAGATCCTTGTTTCCCCCTAAAATACACTCAAGGTTTATTAGAAAGGTTTCAGACATTACAAGAGTGCTTGTTTATTTCCTTAATTTAGCACAGGACTTATTTTAAAATGTGACTATGCAGTGTAAAGTCAACATCCTATAACACTGACTTTCATAAACTGTAAGTAAACAGGTGTTTGTGAAGTTTCCCCGTTGGTCTTATAGCCATTATTACCCTTTACCGACAGAGGAAAAAAAGAGACGACAAATGAGTAAGAAATCAAAAGAAAGTGGAAAACATTGTGCACAGCTTCAAACAAGGCATTCCTGTGCATATGGAGCCGTGTTGTTACAAGGCTCCTGATTCATCCATCATAGGTGGCAAAGACTAGCTGCAAAATGGAGTGCAAAACACCTGAGGTTTCCATGGTGACATATCAATTATTACCCCCGTGGACAAAACAACTAAACATTTTGCTTTCATCAGGTAGGAGTGAACATCTTTTCAATATTGGCAGCATGAAGGAAAAAAAAACAATCCTTCAAATGCAGAAGATGAAAGCAGAGTGGAGGCGTGAGGCCCCGGCCGTTTGTTCCCCTCCTCATTTCTTGGCTTGCTTGGTGACCATGTTGCGAGGGGGGGTGACGGGACGGCTCCCGTTGGGCTTCTTCTTCTCGGCTGGTTTCAGAATCTACACGAGGAACGGGAAGAATAAGAAGTGTTAGCGTACACAACGTCATGTTTCATGAAGAGGTGAAGAAAATAAGCTGGACTTTGAGCTCGTTTATTCTTTTTACATTTCAGAGCACTGAGTATCAACAAGAGTTACATAAGACAGAAAAACGAGGACTCGCAGGGTTAAAGTAAACATTGATTCAGGGATGTTTAACCGGCGCTCTCAGTTCAACACGCTCCTTGTCCAGGGATCAAAATCTCCCCACATCAGCCCGTTATTTCAAATGTTTTCTATCTAAGAAATAACAGCGACACGTTCCCTTGTTTTTTTCCCCCTTAAAAGTTTGAGATCTAGGGCAACAGATGAGCTCTCACTTCTTTCAACAGACGAGTGAAAAGGTGAACTTCAGTACTGTGCACACCGAAGCCTAAAAACATGACAAGTCTGGACAAGGACGGGCACGACCACAATAAAAGCCTCCTATACACCGAGAGAGGAACATCAGATAAACGTCTGACAGTTTGTTTATGAAGTTATGTCACCAACTCTACCCGACCGTTTTCAGTCTGATTGACCCTGACTAAATATCATTACATTAAAGGAAATCTGTCGTAGCAACCAAAGACTGTAAATATTAATATTTGAAGCCTGAGTGACGTCACCCGTCTGTTCCTGCAGGGGGCGCTGGACAGGCTAACGACAGCGCAGGCTGAGAGCTGGAGCTGAGGCGGGTTTTAAACCTCCTGACAAACCGTTACACTGCGCCCACCTGTCAATCAGGTCAGCTACACACCTTATTGTGAATAACTCTTATCCTTCATCAAATCAAAACTGATGAGTCATCAAAACATTCACCCCTTGTACAGTGTGTGTCCATCGAGACATGAGCTAATCACACCTATTTGTTTTTTTGAACCAGGCTGTAAACATGTTCATCTCTGCTGTAAAAACAGGCTTTTTAGAATGGGTGTGTATGTGACTTCCTGTGCTTCTGCAGCCAGCCTCTAGTGGACACTCAAGGAACTGCAGGATTTTACACTTCAGCATCATATTCATTTTAGGTTGCTGCTTGGTAGCGACAGAGAACTTGAATCCCTGCAGACCTTGGTCTCACTTCTTTCAGCAGACGTATTTGAGCTGTTCACGTTATGAGTGCTACAAATGTGGCTGACATAACAGAAAGGCACTGACCTGAAAGGAACACATGAGGGTCTCATCCACGCTCATCATGGCACCAGCATTATCAAACTCCCCGCAGTAGTTGGGCGCTGAGAACAAAGTGACAAGCTGCCTCTTTGCGAAAAATTCATAGCCATCCTCAACAACCTGCACAAAGGATGAAAAGAAAAACAGAGATAGGTTTACAAAACTCCTCAAACTAATGTTAAAAGTATGAAACAGATTACAGAACATGAAGTATGTCAGATATAGTCTGGCTGATCTGATGGGTCAGCGCCCCCCCCATGAGGAGAACTTTCAGCATTAGCACAACCCTGACAGGCCGGGGAAAACCATCCAATGTACACAGTTCTTTGCTCAGTTTGAAATGTCCTGCAATCCTCGTCCCAAACATTAGAGCATGTCCACTGATCTGCCAACACAAAACCACGTTGCACTGTTTATAACGGATGAGGTGATCGTGGTTACCTGATGGGCGCGACAGATCAGATCCAGGTCATGCTTGTGCAGGAACTTGGCGACCACCTCTGAGCCAAAAGTAAATGATACACCCCTGTCGTTCTCCCCCCAGCCCAAAACATCCTTATCTGGATCAGACCAGAGCAAGTCGCACAGCAGCCCCTGGTCAGGGACATCGGTGGGGCGCATGATGCGTCTGATCTGCTCCATGGACTGGAGGTCAGGTGACAGTCCTAAACATAACAGAAGGGAAGGTACAAATGAACTCACTGATACTGAGGCAATAGCTCTTACACAGGAGAGTTGGCAAACTGCACAGACAGCATGACTCAAGCAGTGGCGGACTTTTGAGGCTACGCTCAACTGAAATATGAGGAAGTGTGTGGACAAACATCCTCTTTAGACTAGAAGAAGAATGATTATTTATTGTATTAAAAACAAAACCCACCTCCATGGCAGCAAAAGATCTTCTCATCAACAATGGCAGAAATAGGGAGACAGTTGAAACAATCTGTGAAGGTCTTCCAGAGCTTGATGTTGTACCTTCGTTTACCTGCAGAGTCCAAGAATAAAATAATCAGGCTCGTCTCCTGAGGTATTACCTTCCTGTTAGAGTCCAGGAGACAGATACCATTTCTGCTTTGAAGAGGTCCATTATTATGTTCCTTTGGTGGTCAAACAATTAGTTTGGTTATTCTTGAGGAGTCTCTGTGTTATAGGGAACGTTTTCCTCACTGCTACATCCGAGTGCTCGCTGTGGTGGTATTATTATTGTAACACCTAGTGTTTGAAATGGGTACTGCAGTCTAAATTCTAAACATTGTAGAGAGCTGCCCCCCCCCTCCTCTCTAGAGTCAATGCTCACTCAGGTCACCATGTGGTGGACACTGAAGCTTCAGTGTTTATCCAGCTCTGCATGGGTCTGTAAACCTTTCTGTGTTCTAACCTCTCTCCATTTTTCAAAAGCATCTCCAATATTGATCCTAGTTTGAGCACGTTTCTGCTCGTGGAGCTTATTAGAAACATGCAGAGGCTTTTTAGGTCGGGTACAATCACTTCTATCTGAACCACTTCTCTTGACCGCTTCCATCACTGCAACACCTGTTGACCTGATAACTGCTCTCATATCTGACAAACAGAGGGGCGTCCAAAACGGCCGTGTGGGGGTTCCTTAAAACCTCCTACCTTCTCTGGTCCAAACAAATCCAGAGCATTCAGGAGCAGAATCTAAGGGCACGGTCACACTGGCCATCCATACCGTGCCCAAGTACACTTCAATGCTAAAGTCCAGTTCGTTTGTCCAGTGTGACCGCTCCGTATCGTGCTCAGGCACGATACACTTCCTTGGCTTTGGCACACTTCGGAGAGGTGTGGCTTCAGCACGGTACACTTCATGCACGAGCACAAGCACGCGGGTAAACAACGCTGACAGCCTTCATTATGGAGAAATCCAGAGTTTCATGTCTGTATCTGACTAAAATGACACAATATAAGACACAAAGTAGCTGTCATGTTCTCTGTGTTGTTCTCCGATGTGCGGGCGTCCGTGCGGCCGAGTCTGTGAGGACGCCCACACATCGGAGAACAATTAATTTATTTATTGCTGTGTCTGATTAAAATGGTTTAAAATAAGCTGTAAAGTCAGTAAAGTAGCTGTCATGCTCTGTGTTGTTCTCTGATGTGCGGCTGTGGACTCGCCTGTGGACTTGGCCGCGCGTCTTTTTTATATTTTTATGGCTGTGTCTGATTAAAATGGTTTAAAATAAGTTGTAAAGTCAGAAAAATAGCTGTCATGTTTTGT